CCAGTCCACCACCATTCGCATTTCCCAAATATATATACGACCTCTGATATTTCTTCCATATTCCACTGTTCTAAGATCTTACACGTAGATACTATTCAAATATTTGGAACTAAAGGTTGTTTGAGACAGATAGGTTGCCTGATAACTTTATGACGTCCTCTGGGGTGTCTCAACATAATGCAAATCTCCATAAGGCACCCCAAATGCGTCATCAAGACAACCTATTAATTTTAGGAAACTTGATTTTGAACAAATAATTTCTAATTTTCAGAATACCTATAAGCATAAATTTCACAGAAAGACAACACTTCAACTAAAAAGATGAACATTGGAACATTCATGAAAATCCAAGATTTTCAGGTTCGAAATAAGGCATCATATCATAACTCCCAATCGTTTCTGGAAATTTGCAATATTTAAACTTGTTAGGTATTTGCAGTAAGGAAATGACCTAGCGCGTTTAAATAGGGTTTTAGCCTTATTAAGGTGGATTTGCATAATATCTCTATGTATAAAGCTTGTTGGCATAATGTTTGATTTATTAAAGTCCCTGTTTTTATGTAGTTCATGTGTTCTTTGATACGTTTTTGTTATGACCGACGAGTTTCACCAAATCACAATGAATACATGGAAGTTCAAAAATTACGCTTCTAGTACGATGAACAGTTTCATTATATGGTGCGTATGTTGTATTCTTTACTAGGTACTTGATCTGTTCTCACAGAAATCACAAGCCAGTCAGAGCATTTTTGATTGGTGCAAATCGTCAACAACCGCAGTTTTCTGACTGTATTCAACCAAGGAAATTCACTCTGATAGATACGTTTGTGATTTCTGTGAGAACTGAGAACAGACCTCTTATTTGTTTTATTTTGTCTCTAAGTAAATATTGGTTATTTGATGGGTCTGCGTTTTGTTTAGGTATTGGATTTTGGAAATTTTCTTTTATTGTATTGGTCCAGTCACAAACGACAAAGTCCATACTACCTAAGCGGCAGGGAGTTTCACAGGTGGGCAGTAGGTACGCCACCAAAAAAACATAGAGGATTTCGGAGTAGCCAACTTTACCACATACGGCTGGGATGCTTGTGATGTTCCTAGAGTTCTTGAATAACTTCTTCTAGTTGGAACTTATATTATCAATAATCCTAATGTTCACTACATTTTCTCTTCTACAAAGTTCCACCATCTATGTAATTAGGTAAGTCCCAAGTTTTATTATAACAATACTTTATGCTGTTAGGGTTCAAAGACGATGCCGGCTAGAATTATTATATAACCAATGTCCTGTTCACACCAATTTCTCGAAAGTCGGTACTTCTATTGCAGAAACCCCAATTGTTGTAAATATAAAAACCAAGTCGAATACAGCCCATGGGAAGTACTCTTGCCGCCAAACACATAGTACCTTCCCAAGCCTTTTTTATAATACAGATGGCGAGAATTACAACCCCTAGGTTAATTTTAGGTTTATGATTGTACAAACGTTTCGTAATATTTTAGCATCTAAATAAAATATGTTGTTAGGGTAATATAAGTTTATTTTAGGAAATTGTAAAATACCCTTCTTTAGGGAGGTCCAAACTTGCCTTGCTTGGTGGAAGATAGTTGAAGGCAAGGCATTCAGATTCCGAGCTTCACTCTGAACAGTCGGGTTGCCTCTCAACATTCTTAACTAAGTGTCCCCCCTCTCAACGAGAATTTTAATAATTGAAACATTTTTATACAATACCGAGTTTTAATTATCGAAGTACGAGATTGGAGCGAGCGGAAAACTCCAGGTACTCAACATTCGTGGCATCCGTCATTTCCCGATCCCCAACAGGCTGATTAGATCGTCAGTTTGGAGTCGGCAACCTTATATCCATGTTCGAGAAATTGCAATGAATCGCGGTAAGAGTTGGATTATCGATCCATTACCTATTTTTGCTCTTCTTTGTACTGCATGTAATAGAGCCAACGAATACTTGGGAGCATCGCTCCAGATGTGGGAACAGTATTCCATACATGGTCATGCCAAGGCAAAGTTGGTTGATGCGGTTATCCCAAGAAGAGATGCTGAGGAAATAATAGAAAGGTTTACATCCTCGAAACTCGGTTATCATCGGCGGAAGATTTTTTTATTTAAAAATACTGTTGTTGGAGTTTTGGAAGCAATGAATTTTACTAAGTAATGAATGTGTCAAGATCATTGTTGATAGAGTCAATCTCTTCTCGAGAGGCATGTAGAAGTGGCTGCAGAAAGCAGTTTTTCAGATGAGAAATATGCCACCAAGCAGGTGTTTCTTGTCACATACAACAAATCACTTATAAAAAATGAGAAACAGTATTGGGAACAGAATTGAGCCTTGGGAAACACCAGCATTTATCGGCAGTGTATCAGAAGACAGACCATCGATCACAAATATGCAGTGACCTGCCTTCCAAAAAGCTCCCAAGTCAATGGCAAAATTCGTTCGGAGAAACCTGATCAAGCGCCTAGAAGATGTCCGATGCTACAATTCTGGATTCTACATGCTTTTTGAGAGTCGATTTCCAAATACGACTGATATAGGTACCTGTTGACCTTTTAGAACGTAACCTGTTTCTCAGAGGTGGGCTTTGGGATATCTTACCAGTTTCAGGTTTACTGCCTGTTTCATTACTTTCGACGGGACGATAATTGCTAGGAAGATTTTTCTTACCTTTTTTTTTTGGATGGGCTGCACTCTGGCACATTTCCAGATAGACTGGTAGATCGCCTCGACTGTAACTGAGTGAAAACGGTTTGCAAATAACTGAAGCCAGTGCTTGTGCGCAGGTTTTGAGTACAATTGGTGGAATCTCGTGGGGGCCACACAAGATTTCCCCAGTGTCAAGTTGCAGAAGAGTTTTCCTAATAGTCTTAATACAACGTTGTCTATGTAAGAACCAATTAATGTGTGGCAATACCAGTGACGCTCTGCCATTGTCCTCCATCGTGGAATTGGATGCACACAAGGAGTCAACAAATGTACAATGATTTCCATATTTGGCAATCAGTGATCAGTATTCCCATCCCAAGAATTGCGGCTGATTGCCAATGATTTTCAGATATTTTTGTATGATTACGAGGTGATTTCCATTTTTCATCTGGGGATTCCTATATCATTCCCCTGATTTCCTTGATGGTATCCTACAATCCAGCTGATTTTATTACGAAAACGATGTTTAATTGTTTAGCTTCGCAATGATATGACCAAAATAAACAGTCCCTTCTGTTCTACTATTAACACGTTTCCACTGAAAAATTGGCAACTTCTGTTTGCAGCTTTTCCAAAAGTTAGCAACTTTTATTTTCATGGTTGTCCACACCCACACCGATTAGGCTGTAGGTATAAATATTTGTTGAACCCTAGATACTATTGCGTATCTATACTGCATAATATGGATCTGAAATATTGGATATCTCTTGGATTTCACTAGGATGTTCATCTGAATCAGAGACATCTTCAGTCACTCGACAAACTAATTTCTGATTCTGATTCAGATGTGCTATCGTCTCTGCTTCTCCTTACCTAGTATCTATTCTGCTTTCCCTTTTCAAGTTCTTATTGCCTTGGATAATGGATTCCCGACTTTTTTTGTGTCTTTCTCAGGGATATTCTCATAGCCCTTAATACTCGATCGACAAACGTCCCAGCTTCTCTGAAAGTGAATCGCAATTGCTAAACCTGATGTGTGAAGAAATTCTGTATCTTCTTTTGGAAAGTCAGATTCGAGAAAGGTTTCGAGATTCATGTTTTAATTTTTATGATCTGCGTTATACTTTAGGTCTGTTCTCACAGAAATCACAAACCAGTCAAAGCGAATTTCATTGGTTGAAAATAGTCAGAAAACTGGTTGTTGGCGATTTGCACCAATCAAAAACGCTCTGACTGGTTTGTGATTTCTGTGAGAACAGACCTAATCTTCATCTCGTTCTTCTTCTTCAAGTTCTAAACTCTTCGTAGTCTTGCTTGGGTTTAGTTATTGGGAGAGATCCCCATGGAGTCCTAGGAGATTCCTAGCGATTCCCAGGGACTTCCAAGCGATTTCCGTGTATTCCTGATTGATTACTATGTGATTCCCAAAAATATGTACAATGATTTACGCTAGTGGTTTACCACTCGAATGCACATTGTTTGGCAAAGAGATCTGCTTTTTCCTTTGACGATATTGCAATAGAAATATTGTCCTCAACTGGCTCAACTAAAGATGGAAAGGAAAATGTGAAATTCTTCCTATGGTTTTGGCAAATGACTAAAAGGACTTTGATACACTCGGGCAGTCCTAAAGTCGATTACACACTGTTGGTTGTGTAACTTCTAAGCCGTGTTGGTCCTACAGGAGTTGCAATCATCATCGGAGGAATATTTGGATTCAAAGCAAAGGTCGGACCAGGGAAAGGTCGTACACTACAATAGAATTATTATCCTTAATTAAAGGTAGAAATGGAGAAGATGTGAAATTTTTCCTATGGTCTTGGCAAATGACCAAAAGAACCTTAATCCTCTCGGGCAGTCCTAAAGTCGATTACACACTGTTGGCTGTGTAACTTATTCTAAGCCTAGTTATTCCTACAGTTGCAATCATCATCGGAGGAATATTTGGATTCAAAGTAAAGGTCGAGAAAATAGTTTTAGGCCTTTCCAGTCTGCAGCTTTATAATGCCACACCTTACCAGGTATTGGAGCAGAGGCCGAATAAAAATTACTACAAGATGAACAAAGTTCTGGTGAAATATTCAATTGAGGTGTAACATTAAACATCCACCTTGAACGTACAGACATTTCTTGCAAAACTAGCAGTTAAATTAGTCGCTAGACTAAATATATACAAATAGGTAAGTAATTAAAATTCTTATTTCTTGTAATTATCTAGATAGTTTTCGTGATAACAAAATAGAGAAGAAATGAATAGAACCCGAACGGCAACGTTGCTGGTTTGCCTCCAGCCGGCTCCCCTGCGCACATGTTTCGATAACCACGCCGGTCTCTGCCGGTTGCCTTGCTTGCCTCTTGCCTTTGCCCGTCCGAAAAATCAGTTAGTTTCAAGCGAGCATATCGTTCGCTGGCTTCTGCTTGAACAACAAAAAAATCGCTATTATAAGTAAAAAAGAAACCATTTAATACAAATTTTAATATTAAACTATTCTAAGTAGATAATTCAATAATATATTTTTGTACCGGTAAAACAACGTTTTTTATCCTAATCTTAAAAAACCCGCATTAGTCAAAAAATTACCATCGTCGCTTCTTTTTACGTTTGAATCTATTTAGTATTCGGAGGAATCTGAGAGGTGTAAAACCCCGCGCGAATCCCTATTTTATGTGTGTCTAGTAAACTTCTAACCTTCAGAACCGACAATCAATTCCTGTGCAAAACTGTTATCTAATTTCAATCATCAACGCAAAATGCCGGGGAGTTTGTTTCCAGACATGGACAGATCAAGTGGCATCGGTGACGATAGGGCTCTTCAGTTGGCTCTGGAATTATCCATGCTCGGTTTCAGCAGCGAACCGCTGAACTCCGTTGCTCTACCGGACTCTGATCCCGCGACCGACATGAATCCGTTCGTCAATCACATGGGGAATCCTCTGGACGAGGTCAGATCCAAAAAATCTCAGAACATGACCGAGTGCGTACCGGTTCCTAGTTCCGAACATGTGGCCGAAATTGTAGGCAGACAAGGTAAGAATTTTTGGCTTTTTATGTTTCATTATGTGGACCAAACTTATTATTGTTGGATGGAACTTTTAGATACTCAGAAATTGGAAATTAAAATATTAATCATTTATCTGTTATGACTTGGTATTTGTTATTTGTTCCAATAATGAAATTACCTATAAGTTTGCTCCATAATTGAGCTAATTGTTCCAACATGATATAGCATCACACCTATTGAAAAAACTAGAAAAATTCTAAAGCAATTTGATACAAAGCTCTTGTTTGAAAAATTAGCTCAGAAATAACAAATAAATATAACTCTAGGAAAGTTCTCACTACTGGCAGATTATTTGTTAACTAGAATTGAAAAGTTTGTTCCAATAAGATTTTTGAAAAAATTAACAAAATTCAAAAACAATTTCATGGAAATTATTAGTAACTTACTACCTACTGGTAGAAACGTCTAGGCACTTTACGAAATTATGAATGAAATTAATCGTTATTAGTTTACCTATACCTTTATATTTGTTCCAACAAAAGTCTCAATTGGATTAATATTTCAAATTAAACAATATCGATTGCAAAGTAACTACATACTTAGAACATTTATTTTGAAACCACTTATGAAAATAACTCTGATAATAATTACTTACTACTGGCTTAGTTCCCAGGTTAGTTGAGATTATTTTTGTTTTGATAGAAATCCAATAAGAGTTTGTTCCTCAGTTTGCTCGAGATTTATTGTAAAATGGCTTAGATTCAAAAATCATTTTATAGGTACCTACTTTTGTTGGAATATTTACAAATGAAAATAATAATGCAAAGTAAATCTAAATTTTTTTGGACAATTTCAATCAATTAAGCATTAGGCCATTCCCTAATTTGTGTCATCTTCAAATTTGTATGGACTCAGGGTTGGTAAAAATCCAGCTAATTGTATTATAGTGGATGGAGAATTGGATTTTTGGTTTTGGATTTTTGATATTTTTGGTGGATATTTGTGTTTTTGATATATACCTATTTTTATGTATTAAAACTTTTCGTTTTGGAACAGATGAGATAACTATACGGAGGTATCAAAGAGCGCTTAAGAACATTTGAAAAATTTTTGATAACTTTTAGAACATCCCAGCCCTCTCAATAAGGAATGAGTTTAAAACTTTCGAAAGCCTTTTGAAAAGCTTCAGAATGCGCTAGCACCAAGTTAGAACATTTTTAAGCATTTTAAGATGCTCTAGAGCAATTTAGAACTTTGATAAGTTTCAGAAGACTTTCAATTCAATTCTTAATCCTCCTGCATTTCTTTGAGACAAATTGAAATCTTTAAGAACATTGTAAAACGTTACAGAACACTTTAGAACCAATTTAGGATTTGAGAGATATTCTAGAACAGATCAGAACACATCTGAACTTTTGGCAAAATTTAAGAAAGCTTTTGGAACACTCTAGAATACTTAACAAATCATTTGGAACTTTTGGAAACAATCTAGAACTGGAAACTTTTAGAATAACTTTAAAAAAAAAAACAATCTAGAACTGGAGACTTTTAGAATAACTTAAAAACCATCACAAGACACTCTAGAAGCAACTTAAAACTTCCATGAACATATTAGAACACTCTAAAACACTGATTCTTGTGCCAATTTGGAACATCTTTAAGCATTTTGAGACGCTTTAGAGCACTTCAGAATAAATCTAGAACTTTGATAAGCTTCAGAACTTTTAATTCAATTCTCAATCCTCTGCGACAAATTGAAACTTTCAAGAACATTGTATAACGCTACAGAACACTTTGGAATGAACTTAGAATTTCAGAAACATTCTAGAACGGACCAAAACACTTCCGAACTATCAGGAACATTTAAGAAAGTCCTGAAGATAAAACTGTCGAAACGTTACCTTCATGGCCTTGATTGATTTAATTTTTTTTTATTAAAGTGTCCAAAAAAATCAGATTTATTTTGCCTGATAACTTATTCTGGGGATGAAACAGGACACCTTTTTTCTTATAATAATTGTTCATGGTTAGTCTAGCTGATATGTGAGCAACCAAATTTGTTGAGAAATTAACCAATAAAATCCAAAACAATTTGTTCCTAATCCAGATCCTTAAAATTCTTAGGGACAATAAGGTAGGTATAGGCGAGGGTATAGAGGTAAACCAGTTAAGAATTTTGGTGTTCCACGTTCTGGAATTTGTGCAAAACTGTTGAGAAGATTCTCTCGAGAATTCTCGGTTATTATTGTCCAATTAAAGCTAGTAGTCATTAAAATCCTTACATAAGTGTATTTTTGGTTCAAAATTGCTTTGAAACCACAAAATGATGGTCCAAATTTGTCTTAAAAGTGCTCTCCCCTGGATTTTTTGACAAAAATAGGTATTAAAATGCATTTCCTAGACTTCTACATTATTTCACTTATCAATCAAAATCTATACGGGTTCAACATGAAAGCAACCCAAAATTAAAGAGGTCAATATTTTTTGGTTTGGTTCCAAAAATATTGAGCTTAAAAGTTAGGCGGAAAAATTTTGCTTGTTGGGAAGCAATCGTCTAGCAGTTTATTTATGGTTGAAAGTTATCCCAGAAAACTTACTTATTCTCAATTAGGGTTTCAAAAAAAGTTATTTGATTTGGTACACCAAGCTGTGAAGCTTTCTCTCCGAGGGGTAAACCACTAGTGGAAATCATTGTACATTTTTTTGGGAATCACATAGTAATGAATCAGGAATACATAGAAATTACTTGAGAGGCCCTGGAAAATTGGGGATAACCTAGGAATTGCTAGGAATCTCCTAGGACTCCATGGGAATAGCATAGCATGAAATAGCATTCATACATTTTAGGCGATACAGCGTACTGTACCGGTTAGTTGTGTATTTGCCTTTAAGACTAAGTTTTGGGTAACAGCTCTGTTCCAACCGACATGAGAACCGTTCTAGAACGGTAATTTCCAGTCAATCAATTAATTTGTCAAGTAGGATAAACGTTCAACTTATTGAAAAATAGGTGGGCAACTGAAAATTACTGTTTCTGGAACGGTTCTCATGTCAGTTGGAATAGAGAATTGAGTGCTAGACAATTTGGAATGAATTTGATATCCCAACGAGTTTTCCAATAACTAAGCCAATAACTGATCCCAAGATTACCAAGAGTTTAGAACTTGAAGAAAAACGAGATGAAGATTAGATCTGTTCGCAGTTCTCACAGAAATTAAAAACCAGTCATAACGTTTCTGATTGGTGCAAATCGTCAACAACCAGTTTTCTGACTATTTTCAACCAATGAAATTCGCTCTGACTTGTTTGTGATTTCTATGAGAACAGACCTTAGTTCTTTTCAGAGAAGCAGGGACGTTTGTTGATCAAGTATTAAGAGCTATAAGAATTCCTCTGAGGAAGACACAAAAGAAAAAGTCGGGAATCTAAGGCAATAAGAACTTGAAAAGGGAAAGGGGAAAGTAGAATAAATACTAGGCAGTGCGAGAAGCAGAGACGATAGCACATCTGAATCAGAAATAAGTTTGTCGAGTGAAACCCTAACTGAAGATGTCTCTGATTCAGATGAAAATCCTAGTGAAATGAGAGAAATATCCATCACTTTAGATCCATATTATGCAGTGTAGACATGAAATGGTATCTAGGACTCAACAACTATTTATACCTACAATAAAATCGGTGTGGGTTGTTAACTTTTTGAAGAGTTGCAAATACAGAAGTTGCCAGTTTTTCAGTGGAAACAAGTTTTTATAAGACTTTTCGTAATAAAATCAGCTGGAAATCAGATGATTGCAAGAAATCAAGTAATCAATTGGGAATGATATAGGAATCCCCATAAAAAATGGAAATCACCTGGTAATCATATAAATATATCGGAAAATCATTAGCAATCAGTCGCAATTTTTGGCATGTGAATACATGAGATTCATTGATCAGTGACTGCCAAATATGGAAATCATTGTACATTTGTAAGCATAGTGGTTGACCTCTCGTTACTCTCTGAGATAAACGACTTTCAAAATTTGAAATAAGGTTCCAACTTAGCGCCCAATTTCTCAAAAACTGCAGGAAATACAGGATTCAATCATGTATTACACATGAAAATTTCAAAACATTAACTGAACTGAAGTGATTTTTGTAAGGCTGTTGGAACATACAAAAAAATGTGAATTTTACTGAATTTTATACTGGTATCTTTCCAGAACTGGGTTGGGTAAAATCACAAATAATTTATTATTGTTTAAGTACCTACTTTACTATAAAAATATAAAAGTCTTCGGTCACAACTATACAAGAAGAATGAAATCCAGATATCCGGATAATGGATTTGCTAGTCTGGTTGAGAGAGACATAGACAGACAAAAATAATTTAAACCGTCAAGTGGTAGGTACTTCTAAAAATTATGATAAATTGTATAATTTGTTCTAGTATTTCAAGTAGTTATTAGATTAGATATTTTTGTTAATATAGGTATCTGAACAATGATTCACAGAACTTATAATATGTTTCAAAGCATGTGAACAATTTCTTGTTAAATATTTTACAATTATTACTAGCAATAGCATTCTTTTATACAACCATCTGTATAAAGTTATAATCTTGGTAATTATGTAAGTATCCAACTGAAAATCTGTCTCAGATACTGATACGAGTGTATCCTCAGCAAAAAGATTATTAAATTATGCAATTTTTTAAATATTACATTGGCATAAATTAAAAAAATCCCATAGGTAAACACTAACATTGTCTATTTCTTTGCTGACAATTCCATTTATTTTTGTCAAGTTGCTCTGCTCTTTACTGAGAAAATTAAATTTGAACCCACATGTCTTGAGAGCAATTCCCATTGCTTACACTAGCTGCACTCCGCATGAAATTTTTATGTAATCCATTTTGTGAATAAAAATGGTAAAATATTTCATAAATTTGCAATTAGAATTATTTGATAATGCAGCACAGTGGGACATTTTTCACAGCATTTTATCAATATTTTACTATAATATCACATTCTCGTAAGCACATCAT